TATATATATATATATTGCTAAGTGGATATATTTTTTCTGAATTAACAATTAAAACTCTACCTGAAAGTTTATCGCATAATAGTTGCGAGATTTGTGTCAAGTGTCTAGTGAAATTACAATTTTCGATTTCTTCATCTCGTCGACAATCAAAATATGTCTTCGCAGTAAACAAAGCAACAAGTTACTTACAAGGAATTGGAAGTTAATATCTTTGTCTCCAGTGCCAAACGTAGTGATACGAACAAATGAAAACTTTAATCTTAATGTTAGTTAAAAAGACACACTTAATGTTAGTGAAGACTTGGAGTAAGGCCCATGAAAGTAATGTGACATTGAGTCCACTATTTATAGTCAACTTCCATATCGCTCGTCATTCATTTGGATTGAATATATACATATAAAAAGAAAGAGAGAAACGTGGAAGTTACCCCAAACAAGAAGTAGAATAAAGTTGCGGAGGAATCGCAGAATCAGTCGATGCTATTAGCAGAATAGAAATAGGTAAGGATTTTCCTTCTGTATTTACTCCACCTGTGTCGCATATTTACATTATTCGAATCTCGCTCGCCGATGGTCATTTCGAGTCTTATCTTAAACATGATATACATATATATGTATGTACGCATGACATGATATATATGTGTATGTCATGCATATGATATACCATGTTTGTATTTCTTATGTACAGTTTATACATGAACACGTTATATAAAATGTGTCATAATACTCTGAACGTCCAAGTGTGACTCACATTTACGCAATCTTTACGCGGCGCTCGAATCAGATTATTTCGAATAGATATGGAGTCTCGCACGGATATTCAATGAATAGAAAATTCGAAAGCGCGGACGTTGGGTAACTTAAGAAAACTTTGCTCCTTTTCAAATTTAATTAGAAGCAATTGCGCACACATACTATCTATATACTGACACATTCCTCGAAATCCTTTCGATCGAATGTTCTTCTTTCGTATCTATTATTGCTTACCATTCGGAAACGTGTCACGGTATATATTCTTTGATATTAACATCTGAAATAGGCATTACATTGCCATCACACGTTTCCAATTTACACTCGGCAAATTGTCCACGCTTCTGTGGCGTTGATGCACGGTCGAAGCTCACCTTAAGCAACGCGCCGAGTTAATTACGATGATGAGACAACAGTGATCGATTCCACATTTTAGTGGCAGATCGATTCACACACAATGGAATGATTGTGAACGTCAGATGCGAATTTGATGATACACTTATGAAAATGTAATCCGCATTTTTGGCGAGGAATTGATTCTCATGGTAGGCTTCCCCTGTGATTTGAGGTTTGATCATAAATTAACAACGACAAGCTATTTCACTTAGACACACAAATTGCATTTGCTGGTTTAACGTAGTTAAACTGTTGGTATTGATAATGCACTTGTGTCCCACCGACGTGGTTTTACCATTTAGGCTACCAAACAAAAGTTCGGCCAACAGGTTATTCGAATCGATTGTAGATACTATAGACGAATCACAAAAAAGTGACATCTATGTCCTATTAATTCTTAACTTCAAATAAAAGATTCTTCTTATACAGTGATGCGAAGGTCAATCTATGTCTAACATGGCATTTAAGATAATGCAGTAATTATTCGCTTGGTGAATTTATTGTATCGAGAATCAAGATTAAAAAACAATTATAAAGAATTGAAGGTTGCACATGATGCAATCATCGCGCAAGTAGTTCGTGTGCGTAGGAAAATCGCATTCCTGCGTATAATTGAAGTAAACTAAAGTTCAGAAAAATTGCAAAGATGTGCGACTCTATACAAAGCTTGAACAATGCTGTTCCTGCAGCATTCTTTCCAATGATTGTCTATGTTCTTCTTTTCTTTGTATCTATACACCACTTAATTTTACCTCATTCTCAACGCGAGAAAT